ACTAGGAACAAAGGGCATCGCTACTAGGAGCAAGGATGCTACTAGGAGCAAAGGGCATCGCTACTAGGAGCAAGGATGCTACTAGGACAAAGGACATCGCTACTAGGAGCAAGGATGCTACTAGGAACAAAGGGCATCGTTACTAGGAGCAAAGATGCTACTAGGAACAAAGGGCATCGCTGCTAGGAGCAAGGACGCTCCTAGGTTGGAGGCCATCGCTATTGGAAACAAAAAGGAATATAGGATACTTCCGCATTTGTGTTTCGGGAAGGGCGGATTTTCTCGTCCAGGGGCAAATCCATCTGTTGGGCGAGCACACGGTATGCACCGCCGGGAAGGAGCCTCGTCAGACTGTGATGAAAAGGGACAAGAAAACAAGGACAAGACAAGAAAGAAAGCCATGTCTCAAAAAAAACAAATGTTTTAATGAATTAAAGAGGACATGTGTATCAGGGGGCATGTAGTGAAGAAAAGGCTAAGTAAGAGGCTTCTAGCAAGGGCTAAGCCCAAAGCATGCTGTGAGCATCACAGACGTAGTCAACGGAGGAAGGAGGTGAGAAAAGCGGATGAAGGCTTGCACAAACCCTTCCCGAAGAAAAAAAGCTGTAAAAGTCTGTAAAGGTCTAAAGCTACTAGGAACAAAGTGCATCGCTAGTAGTAACAGGTGCCTTACTAGTAGAAACAAGAAGCTACTAGAAACAAAGGGCATCACTACAAGTAACAAGGACGCTACTAGGGGCTCCTGGCATCGCTACTAGGAAGCTCTCCTGGCCTTACTAGGAGCAAGAACGCTACTAGCAAAGAGAGCTGTGAAAGTCTGTAAAGGTCTGAATAGTCCAAAGTCTGATCGTAACAAGGTTCGCTACGAAGGAAGCAAGGACGCTACTAGGGGCGCTCCTGGCCTTACTACTAGGAACAGGTTTGCTACTAGTAACAAGAAGCTATTAGTAACAAGTGCATCGCTAGTAGTAACAAGTGCCTTACTAGTAGTAACAAGAAGAATGTATTTAGAATTGTAATTACTAGCAAAGGAATCCCCTAAAAAGAATGGCCTCCTTTGCAGCACTGTTTTGCAGCACTGAGTAGCCTTTGCTGCGGAAGTAAAAAATGGTCAGACAATGACAACTGCAACCACAACTACTAGGTTGGAGATCATTACTTCTAGGTTGGAGGCCACTACCACTACG